TCGACAGTTGTTGTATGTTCATGGCCCGATATCTCAAGAAGAGCCGGGTAGTGAACAATCTCAATCAAAATACTTGGAAAAAAAATGTAAAGCGGAGAAAGATGAACAAAAACAAGACATGATCTGTCATGAGAAGCTTGCTCAGAGAACTCTTAACGAAGAATCGTTAGAAGCTCTAGAAAATCCTGGAAGACTCAAGAAAGCACCGGGAAGTCCAAAAGAAAATTCTACTTTATATGGCAAGTTTGACTGCGAAAATAACCAAAATATTTTTGGAACTTCAGAATCGGAAGGAGGAGAAAATGATCCGACAAAAAATAAATCAGCTGAATCTGTCGATGGAGGCTCTGAACAAACAAATGAGCCGGCAAATTCAAACTCAAAACGAGCTTATAAGGAGTCCGAATCATCCGAAAAATCGACTAATAAGACATCAAGCTCTTCCACAAAAGCAACTGGTGAGAATTAAAACCTTTTCAAAAGTTTCAAAGTTGTTTTCATAGAATTTTCAGAGGTATCAAATAACCAACAACAGTCGACACAATCATCTGGCTCTGGGATTCCGAATTCTGCACCAGGGCAAACACATGAAACTCCGAAGCCTCCAGAAAAAACTAGAAATAACGATTTCAAATCAATGAAAAATCCAAGCGTGAATCTGGTTCATAAGTCATCTTCGCTCCCGAATCTAACACCAAAAGATCAGACTGATTTGAAAAAAGGCGCATCCATTACAAAAAACTCTTCTTCATCCAACTCTCTGGAAAGTGATGTTAAGCAAAAAAGCATCAGTGGAACGCCTCCTCTCAACTACGACATTGGAACACCCCAGTCGTTCCATTCAACTTCGAGCATGGGAAGTAACCCAGCGTCACCGGAACATCTTGAAGCTCCACCATCTATTCAAACACTTCAAACTTCAGGGAGCAGGGACTCAGCACCATTAGATGAAACGAAGGAAAAGAAAAAATCTGTTGATTTGTCTTTAGAAAAAACTTATGAATTAGTCGATCAAGAAAAAATAACTCCAAGTCTCAAATTACAATCCAACAGAGAAGGTGAGCTTTTTATTATAACGAACAAGAAACGTTTGATGTCAAAAATGTTTTTCAACGTGTCATCATTTCGTCCTGTATAAAATTTTATTCCAGAGTCTTCCTCAAACCTTCCTTTCAATCTACGCAAACGTCCACACTCGCCAGAAAACGAAAGGGACATTCCTCCAAAGATATAAAACGATATAAACGATATAAACGGTAAACGTATTTTAATTTCTCCTGTTTGTTTTTAAACCTTTACCACTCGCCATGCCTACTACCCCTAATTTATGATACTCATTCAATTTCCATTTGATAATCTCCTATGTTTCAAAATCGTATTTTATGCTAAAGTAAGTTTAACGAAAACAAACGAAATTCTAGAAAAGTTTTAACTTCTAACTTGAATTAAAAGATCAAATTGGATTGGTGCTGTTTCAATGACGTAAAACAAAAATGCATTGGAGGAACAAGTATCATCGCCGAAATTATGAAAAAATGGTTTCTGAGACAAAATCTGTTCATCAAGGATTTTAGGAAGTTGCACAATTCACCAAAGTGTTGCATCATCACGTCAGAATGCATATTTTAACTCTAAAAAAACGACGGGCAATCTCCTGATCACCCCTCCTTTAAGTTAAAATATTATTTTCTCCTTTTTTTAGGTTCAGTTTTTTCTGTTGTTATTTGAATGAGAGCAGCGTTCAAATGACTAACAAATTGGAGCGACAAAGATATCAAAAAGGTTTAATGTGTTAAAAATCTCATCGTTCTCACAAAATGGCCTCATTAGTCGATGCCTGCAGTGGGTATGTTCTTGTTTTCACTTTCATTCGGCATTCTTTCTTGTGGCTCTTCATGACTTTGAATTCTATGCCGACCGCAGATTTTCACCATTTCCTTTTTTTTTGCAGAATGTTGCGTAAAAGTTCTTCGAATAGATCTATCAGGAGACAATCAAAATTGGAAGTTACTGTTCATCGTAGACTAGATGCTAGGAAAGTTGCAACAGCAGTTGAAAAGGTATTAGGTTGAGCGAAAAGTCTTTGTAATTTTTTGTGTTTTTTTCGAAACAAAATTTTCTTTAAAGAAAACGAAATTCAATGTGAGATATATTCACCAATAGTATTAATGACAAATTGCTAACGTGATGAAAATTGAGTGATTCCATTAGCGTAGAATTCGGGAGAATGGTAAGCGAAGACGTCGTCCAACCACTTTTCGCATTCTTTCCATCATTGAACTTTCGCCTACCACGGTGATTCTGCGGAGAACGGAATAGACGATATTTAGTTAGGGCAAGGTCTGCTGAATACGGTGAGTGACAGAAGACCTTGGCTCCGAGCATCTGGAGCTTCTGACGGGTCTTCAAAGTAGGTGCACTTGCGTTGTCATGAATCATAAAAAACTGGAATTTTTCGGGCAATTTAATCGATAGGCCCAGAACACTTTGTCCATTTGAGTGCAGTCGAGGTCCGCATTAATAGTGACGCCGTCTAGAAGAAGTCTTCTGAACATAACGTTTTTACTTTCTCACCAAATGGACAATATAACTTTTTCTCGTGAAGTTCTCCTTTGGTGTCCGTTTTGGCGGTTTCCTCGGCCGAGACCCATCGTTTTTTTCTACTCGTCACCAGTGATAATATTCTCAACCCAATTGGCGCTACGTTTCATAATTAGCCGAGAATGTGCCAAATCACAACGCAATGGTTTTTGCGAGTCCGTCAAAAGGTGAGGAATGAGTTGACCAAACTTTGGCTCCCTTCAAGACTCGTGAATGTAATCGATGATGGTCCTTTGAGGTCGGTTGAGACTCGCTGTAAGGTCGCATGACGTTACTCTTGGTTCTTCTTCCAGAGCTCTTGAGATATCCTCGTCGAGATCAAGTGGTCGACCGGATCTTCCAGATCGTAGTTCTCTTCGAAGAACCTTTTGGACCAAAACTTTATTGTAGTGTAGGACATAGAGTTCTCGTCTAACCCTGTACACAATTTACGACAAGCTACGCTGCATTTGTGACAATGGAGAAACTTGCACAAAAAAGCACCCCTGAGAGCATGGTGGTCTCTGAGCAAACTCTTGGTCATTATGAACCCCGTCGATAATTTTAACAAATCTTTTAAACATGCACAACTAGTACTACAATATAGAAAAAAAACAGAATGATAAGAAATTGAATCAACGCTGAGTATGACGGTCCAAAAAAATTACAAAGATTTTTCGCAAAACCTAATATGTTTCATTCTTGTTGTTTTTCATGTTTTTATGTTTTGGATTCTTTTCAGGTTTTTTTTTCAAAAGTTGCATTACAAAATTAATATGTTTCAGACAGACAACCGAAAAAAAACAGAAAACTGCTCAATATCGTCCTGCAACAAGCAACTGATGCGTACCGTTTAGCCTGTGAAACGTATTCTGAGGTTAGTGGATTGGCTCTTTTCTGTTTAAAAAATCTTTGAAATGATTTTTCTGTTTAGGAAGGTCGAGCACGTTTCGAGAAGCTAACTATCGTTCTCCATCACAATGAGAACGCTAACATCAACTTTGTGCCGTAATGCTGATTCACACTTTCATATTATGTAAAAATGGAGCTATTGATTTTGTTGTCTTCTAATGTTCAATTGACAGATCTACTGCCTTTATAAGCATGCAATTGTTGTGTAGGGCTTTGTTTACAACCTACGTTTATTGCTAATCGATGCTTTCTCAACATCGTAGTTTCAAATATTTAATTACCAGTCGAATTCCGCCGCCTGTCGGCGGCTACAATCGTGGACGGCGGAACCCGGGAAGTGTTGGCCGCTGCGAAGAATGACTACCCGGCGGCGCGTAGTTGAAAAATAAATCAAATTTCAAATTCCCGTCAGTTTCGTGTCGAGACCTGTCGGCGAAATTGCGTGCGCCTTTAATCTCGAATGGCACAACAAGCGCGGAAAATTTGCAAAACGTGAAGGTTTTTCTCCCGTCCTCGCCCACCCCTGAATCCGTGTCAAAGTTTGACAGGACTTTATCAAAGAGATTTGTGACAAAATTAAATTATATTGGTCGTTTCTGATAGATCTGTTTCTGATGGTGGAGTTCAATCTTGTCGGGTAGCGACTATGGTGGCACGGGGGTGGTCTGCCGGCGAATTGTCCCATTCAGCCCAAAAAATATTTTAGAGAGCACCCAAAATTCTGTGAAAACAAACATGAACATGTGCTTTAAAAGTTCTCGGCACGGGAATCCCCATTGGATTGTTATCTGACTAGAGACAAGCCATCCTTTTTAGAAGGTCAGGTTGGAACAAATGATTTTGGCACTTTCTGCTGGGCACGTTTTTCCGTGTGAGCAGGTTCTACATCTTTCTGGGCAGTCTAATTTGGCGAGCTTCATGGCACGATAATTTAGGCATCATAATTTTGACTAGAATTAGTATTCCTGGCCCACTTGCTTGCTCTCGTGAATCCGCTAAAAACAGTGAAAAAATCAAGTGAGGTGTACAGAAAGTAATGTCATCTTCGTAAAAATTGAGATATAAATATGAAACTTCACAAATCTATTAATGAAGAGATGGGGAAAAATTCGAGCACAATATCAACCCATGATAAATGCGCCTGCGCACGCCAGCTCAAGTCAAACTTTTGGTAACAGTACTTTTGCCGCACCCTTTATTGTTGATTTCTTTAGGCTAGGTGGTACGGGAACACACACACACACACACACACACACACACACTGATTGTTAATAGTGAAGATATGCAGCTCATATCAATGGATCAAACATATGTTTCATTTTATCGTACTTGCTTAATATTCTTATTTCGTTTCCAGGTTGAAAAAAAATGCATTATTTATCTTTGGACGGATTGTTAACACTCAAAGAATCTGTTAAACTAGAATGCAAAAAGATGTAGATTGCATTAAAAACATTGGAAAGTCAAAAAGCTGGGTGCCGCTCTCGTTCGCCCATTTTTATTGTTTGCGGTCTTTTCGGAAAATAGCATAAAGTCGGGATTGTTCGAGGGGTTTTAAACCACTAGTTGGGTGATGATGACAGAAACATGAACCGATTGTCTTAGATGATTGGATGAAGCGTGAATCATATTCTAATTCCAACTGCTCTATGTTTTTCTTCTTTGTTTCAAACTCTTCACGTCTTTCCTGTGATTTATTAACTCGCTATTTACTACGTTCAGATCTGAGCTTACTTTTGTGAAAAACTGTTTGACAAGTTTGAATGCTTCTTGATAGCGCCGCAGCAGGACCATAGTGACAACTTCTCGACGTTGATTCGTTGGTGTGTTCTAAACGTCGGGTTTTTCGCTCTATTGTAAAACCGTTTTTACATACTAAACTTTGCTGGTGATTCTCTACGAATAACTTGTAAGTTCGCAGATTTTCCTCAAAAATATATTTTATTTTCTTTTTGATTTCTTTGTTTAAAATACTACCATACCTTTTCTTTATCTGTCGCAACACTACATAGCTGTTTGAAAGGTGCGGGGAAGGCGTTTGATTAAGTCTATCATACTCAGACGAGATTAAAAATCCTGCCGGCGAGGAATACCATTGTCGGCATGATAATTTCGCTTGCCGGCCAGAAATAGTCACGCCGGCTATATAGAGAGTCATGCCAGTATGGTAGGGAAAGAAAAATCATCTGCCGACGAGGAAACAAAGCTCCGAAATTCCGGAGTGTTTTTAATATTTTTAAATATATTTTTAAATTTTTCCTATTTTCAATCTTTTTTATTTTTGTTTCATCTCTCAAATATTTTCCAATTTTCAGAAAATATGGTTCTCTCAACTTCTCAACCAACTTGCGACAAGAAGATAATCGAGAAGGTTTGAAATTGCCAGGTTTTCTTAAAATCATCAGATTTTTCAGATACTCTTGATTGTCAACATAATATTTCCTTCTCATTTCGATCAAATGGATGCTGAACTGGTCGGATATAAATAGTCGTAACCCATTTTTCACAGATCTTGAAATCTGAAAAAAAAAACGACAATTTTGTGAGTATGACACTGTTGATATAATCAATTCAAAAATATATTCTCAGTCTTCGAATTTTGATCAAGAATCAAGAACTTCGATTCGAACAATTGATTACTCTGAAAACGGAACGAATTCAAACCAACCTCATTTGCTTCAATCAGACAAAATTGTGAAGAATTTGGCGACGAAATTACCTTTTGGGCCTTATCCACTTTTCTCAAATTGTAAACTTTAAACTTAATTCCCTACTTCTTATCGTTTTTTGGAAGATGTTATTCTTGAACCGTTTCTCATTGATAAGTGTTGTATTTTTTTTGGTTCATCAGCTGCGGAAAAAAACCCTGCTGACCTGAAAAAACCAATTCTCCCGCCGCGTGTACGCCGCAAGGAATATATTTTTTCTCGCCGGCAGGGTTTTCAATCTCCTCTGAGTAGCTAGAAAACCTATTATCGTTCGTAAAAAATTTCCCATTACTTTGTCTGTTTCTCGCCCCACATTGATTGCCTTTAAATCAAACAAGTATGCTTGCCAGACAACTGGAATGGATGAGAAAAACCTACTTAAACTGAAATAAGACAAGGAATTCTTCATCGAAATTATTGGACACAGAGCCCGCCTCTCACAACATCAACTTAAAAATCTGGGAGCTTTGAATAGAGTCTGTGCTTTTTGAAACCCTGGTCTTCAAAAAAAAACACACACTTTAGAATTCTCAATGAATTTTGTCATTAAAGTTATCATAAAATCAACAAGATAGACAAAAATTGGAAACGATTACAACAGAAATTTTGAAAAAAAGTTAGTCAGTGGATTCGGTAGGTGCTGGTGTAGCAGCTACGCTAGCTGGTTTCTCTTCGCGTTCCTCAACAGCAAAAATGGAATGCTTGGCCTTCACTCCAGAGCTGGTTTTCTTTTGACAGCTTTCGTGGTCCTCGTACCGAAGAACATCAAACAATGGGCGTTGGTGGATCATGGATGCATTGTTCAAGACGGTCTTGAGAACGTTGCTGCAACAAGTATCTTTGGTCTCGTACTATTAGTGACCATATCAACAGGTTTGGATTTATTTCAGATAATAGCAGATATTTAAAGCAGTGTCACATCACTTTTTGGTTTTTGCAGGAAAATGAAAATGAGGTAAGGTATTTTGTGGCTAGAAATTAGTTATAGTTGCGTCCTTTTCTATACAATACTTTCAGCTCAGTAATAAATCTTCGTTTTGTCCTATACTATCCAAACTGAGTTAACTTACCCAATACGGAGGTTTGCTTCGTCATCACTACTGTCGGTGGTCCATACCGATATTTTTGAGCCTTTTGTACGGACATTACAAACCATTCCACACACACTTTCAGAATCTTGTTTGAATTGCTCTCCAACCATAGCCATCAAAATCTCTGTCCAAATCAAGTCCATTATTTCCGATGTTCTTTTTTCAATTGTGATCAACCAGCGACCTCCATTTTTGTTTTCTTTCACCTGTAAACTCACTAATGTAATTTATTTTGATATAGCTGTTTTTGTACCTCCCACATTGGTGCAATTCCATCACGGAAAACATTGTAGTCAGATGACGGATTCAAACCACTTGGAGGCTTAATAGCATCGTGAAGAGCCCAAAACTCGCCAATCCCGGTAAAAGTGTGTACGTTTTGAGTCTGTCCTCCCATGATTTGTTTCGATCATCCGACAGAAACCTAGAAAACGAACACTGATATTTTTTAGAAAAGTACGGTTTAAAAAAAAATTGAAAACGAACTTACCACCAAGACCAACTTCTTGCAAGTTTGTAAACTAGTGGTGATTTTTTCTGAGGTGTTTCAGCGATTTCTGCCATTTTTACCTAGGAAAAATTGTTGATTGCGATAAGAAAATAACAAAAAACGGAAAAACGAAAATTTGTCGCAAACATGTCGAAATCCTGCATACAAAAGATCAAAAACCGTACAGATTATCAGTTAAAAACAAGACGTGTCCTAAAATTCTGTGCAAACACCGTCACCCAAACCCACACACATTACACTGTCAAGATCGAATCACATCGGCCGTCTGACTTTTGTGTACGTCACTGTGTTTGCATTGCCGTGCAGCGGAACAGAGGCAAACGCGGGAGGTCAACGAGAGATACATTGACATAATGATGAGAGAGAGAGAGAGAGACGCACAAACTAGCAGAGATAGGTCTACAAGAAAAAACGATAAGATTGACCAGTAAATAAAGGTCAACGAGAACAATATGCCAGAATTGTAAAATATCGAGATGAACAGTTTGATGATTGATCCATAAAAACCGGACTCAAAATAGTTTTGTCGGTTTACGCCCCTTCGGGGCTAAACTTCCTGGCTCCCGCTATTCCCGTTATCATATAGAAAAGTTTATGTTTTTTTCATATAAGCTACGAAAATATAAAGAAGGAAGACACATTAAAAAAAACTCAAAGTAAGAACTTCTGGAATCCTGAAACTCTCAATTTCCAAAATCCAAAAACTCGGAAAATCGAAAAATCGGAACTGGAAACTTGGGAAGTTCGCACTTTTGGAAATTCACAAATTCAAAATTAAAAAATTAGAAAGCTTTGTAATATGGAAAACCTAAAATTCTGCAACTCGACGTTACGGAAATTTTAAATTTTAATAATTCGAAGGAAAAAGATTTCGAAAGAAAACTTTTAAAGTTGGAAACTCTCAAACTCTCCTTTTCTTTAATCGCAAACTCAATTTCTCCAATTCACCAATTCACCAATTCGAAAATTCTTAGTGTCCTAAATTTCGAACCTCTGAAAATTAAAAAAGTATTCGAATTTCCAAAGTATTCGAATTTCCAACTTCGACATTAAAGGTGGGGAGACATGAAAAAATAAGGTTCTCGAAATTCCTTTTATATATGCCACTCAAGGAGTTGAACATGTGGAGGCGAGGATTAAAGGTGCGGCGCCGCTACCGACTGAGCCACGAGAGCAAAGAGAAAGCGGCCGCCCGATTGCATACCTAAAGGCGAGGACGAGAGCTGTACGCAGAGTGACATTAAGCGTTGTACACCGCCACGGTAGAATGCATACCCTAACTCCAAAAAACCTCCGAAAAATCTCCTGTCCCCCACCTTTAAAAACCCAAATTGACAGAACTTACACGGGAAGTACCCGAAGTGTCTGCTCGCTTTTTCTTAGATATTGGTGGCAAAAAATGTCCCTTCCCTGGACTAGCACAAAACAAATATTATAAGGTGCCCATAGGCAGGTTGAGCAGAATGGCAAAACTTTATCTGATATTTTCAAAAAAGTGGGTCAAGTTCATTCAAAAAATCATAACTTCGTACAGAGCAAAGATAAAATGATAAACTAAACTGCATTTTGTAGAACGGGTTTGAGGCTACAAAAAATATTGCACCTTTATTCTATCTCTGCAAAGAAACTTACTATAATGGAAAATGTGCGAATGGTCCGATTGAGTGAAATCAAAAAATGCCGATTTTTGAAAAAACGTATTTGGGAGGCCATGTCTATTCGATTCCTTCCATGTCATAATGCAACTATGTTCTCAAATATATAGCTCACAGTTCATTTAAAAGAAATTTTTGAAAAAATAACCTTTTTTCACTCATGTACCCCTATACATGGTATTTGTTGAACTCATTTTTCCGGAAACAACAGAAAGGCTCTGAAAATGAAAGTTTGAGTTAATTCAGTTTCTTTTTGACAGAAAATAATCGAATCGTGATAAAAAAGTCAAAAATTAAAAAAAAATTCACATGTTAAAAGTGAGCATGTAAAGTGAGCATGTACATGAGTGAAGCTGAAAAAAGTGTTTTTTTTTCAAAAATCTCTCTTAAATGAAAGATGAGCTATATATTTGAAAACATAGTTGTACATTATGACATGGAAGGAATCGAATAGACATTGTCTCCCAAATACGTTTTTTCAAAAATCGGCATTTTTGATTTCATATCGTCGGACCATTCGCACATTTCCTATCATAGTAAAATTCTTTGCAGAGATAAAATAAAGGTGCAATAATATTTTTTGTAGCCTCAAACTCGTTCTACAAAATGCAGTTTAGCTTATCATTTTATCTTTTCTCTTTACAAATTTATGATTTTTTGAATGGACTTGACCCACTTTTTTGAAAAAATCAGGAAAAGTTTTGCCATTCTGCTCAACCTGCCTATGGGGACCTTATATTATTTGTTCAGTGCTAGTCCAGAGAAGGGACATTTTTTGCCACCAATATCTAAGAAAAACCCAGCAGACACTTTGGGTACTTCCCGTGTTAGAAATTGGAAAAATCAAATTGAAAAATATTCGGAAATCAGAATCTCATAGTGAAAAAGTACCTGAAAAAAAAAGAAATTCAGAAAACTAAAAACTTAAAATCCAGAAATTTCAAATTCAGAAGTTCAAAAACTTGAAAATTTATGCCGCGTTCAAAGTTGATTTCCAGGAGTAATTTCCTGGAAAAACGCTGTCCAAAGCTGAGATTGTTTTCCAGATTTACAGCAACAGTAAACTACTGTATCACTCGTTCGACTGTGTTCTTCCTGTTTTTTTCCTGTACGCGGCATTAGACATTCGAGAAGTAAGAAATTCAGAAATTCCAAATTGGTGGTTTAGTGAATGCCAATTTCTGGATTTAAATACACTGCGCGCCATAATTATAGAGTTTTACCACTTCAATTTTTGTAATTTTTCTGATATCCATGAAAGTTTCAGAATCCTTTCCAATGGTGATAAATATCATTTTTGAATCTGAAAATGTAAAGAACATTTAATTATAGATAGTGAAGCAACGGTTTGAAAAAAATGAAAAGATGTCAAAAAAGCAATTTTTCACTGCGCCATAATTATGGAGCCACTTCAAAAATCTTGCCATCATCACAATTTGTTCACTGTAAAAAGCTGATATTCAGATTTTCCGCTAAAAATTGATGTTTCCAAATCAATTTCCAAACTGATTTCAGTAGAAAAATTTTCTGGTAGAAATGATTTTCGAAATTTTTTTCACAAAAAACGGAAGGTTTGCAAAAAAACAATTTTTGCCTATTCCAAATTTTTTCAGGATTGTATAATGTCAGATTATTCATAAGAACTCGTGAAACATTATCAAATGCATTATTTAGTTTTCCAAAGCGTGTAAAGTACTGATCAAAGGGTGCAAACAATAATTATTTGAGTTTAATGAAGCCAACTTTAGGTAAGCCGAAAATATACTAAATATGATGGGACACATTTGAAGCTTTT